AGAAATGGCAGTAGGCATTAGCTCAGAGCTAATCTTCCTCAGCAAAATAAAATAATAAATCTCAGACTTGCCTCTTACAAGCTACATATAGGTAGACAAATTAACATCTCTGGAGCAGGTAACAATTGGAAAACATCAAATGTCGCTGACAGAATGATCAGCATGGGCAGTCATCTTACCCATTGGTATTCATAAGAACCTTCCTGCATAGGGGACAGCATCTTTTGACCTTCAAAGGCTAAAGGGACAGAAACTCTAAACCTGAGGCCAGCCACCAGAGCACACAAAACAGTCCAGGCCTTCACAGCTCCTTCAGTTCCTCCAGCTCCTCCACACAGTGTCCAGCCCTACATGAAGGAGGCTCAGGGCACACTGGGGGCCTGTTGCCTTAGTTCTGAACCTTTCTCTTGCTCACTCCTTTGCTCCATTTCCATCCTATTCCCAATCTTTCACTTATTCTGTTAATCAACTAATGTTTACCCCACTGTTTAATTGGCCAAGGGGACCATTTGCTTTAGATGGAAGGACAGTTGATCTTCTCAGTAAAATCTGACCCAGGCTCTTCACTGGTGAAGCCAGTGGTGAATGTGCACAGCCTTGGACATTCACCCATTTTTGTCCTCACCTGGCCCCACAGAACGCAGCTTCCGTACAACCTCACATTTGACTCTTCAGCCCAGCTACACTGCCTCAGGCCACCCTGGGACCACTCCTTCTACTGTGATGCAGCACCAGGACCACCACAAGTGGGACCAGGGCAGAGACAGCTGGAGATGTTCAGGGCGGGAGTGAGTGCTGCATGGTGGTGGGACAAGGGACCCACACCAGAATAGGCTATAAAAAAATTAGAAAAAACTAGGCCAGGGCTGCAGCTTGTGTCACTTTTCGTTCCCAGGGGACTACAACATCCAAACCAGGTTGAGGACCCTAGTGGGTAGTAAGACAGAGAATCCACAGTCTGGAACACCATTACCCCAGGTTATCACAATCCTCACCTGTAGCCATCCTGGAAACTCTAGACTTTCCTATGCCCTGATACTTCTTTCCAGATCTTTCTTAAGGCATCAGAGGTGAGGGAGTTAACTTGAAATGTGTAAATACAGACCAGGTGCTCCCCAGTGGAGAGTCAGTATTCCAGCCCCAGAGTCGGAAGTCCTGCGGCTCTCCTGCCCACACCTGAGGGAGCTATGCTCGAGTCAGGCCGCTCGCTGCCTTCCCTCACCCGCAGGGCTCCGTGTCCTCCTCCTCCCTGGTCCTCCCAGCACACAAATACCCCCAAGCCAGCAGAGACTCTGATGTGCTAAACTCGGTTGTTTTTTTGTTGTTCACTTATGAGCCCAGGTGAAAGTGTCTCAGTCCCGCCCAAGGGCTGATGGGAACCAAGTAAATACTGAGGTTATTTATCCCAAGGAAGCACTTGTCTCCAGCCACCCACAATCCACAGCCCCTGGCTGGAAACTTACCTGAGAAAGACAATGAAGGAGGGGATGGGGAGACCCACCAGTCTGGCCCTTGTCTTCACCCCGCCCAGGCAGGCCGCAAGTCCCCGGAGCCCCTGTGCATCTAAGAGGTTGTGCGGTCAGGACAGCATGAGAAGCAGAGCACAGGGGCCTGTCCTCTCTGCCCCCGCTCCCCTCTCATTCGGGGCACTCCCTCCCTCACTGGGTTGTGGGCAACTTGGGCCCAGGGTGGGCTTTTCTGGATACTTCTGGACAGAGGAAGGGGCAAGGGCCATAAATGGAGTGCAAACCCTCTCTCCACACCCCCACATTTCCACCTGAACTGTCTCTTCAGCCCCTTCCCCGCCCTGAGGTCAGTCCCACCCTACCATAAACACAAACATGCATGTGCGCACACACATGCACACACGCATGTGCACATGTGCACTCGCACATAACATGCACAAACACACAACTTATCACCCAGGACACTAAATCACCCCTCGGAGCATTGCTCTAATGGAAGCAAAGTTCTCTTCTCCCCGGGCCTCAAATCCCTGCCTTCCACACTGGGTACAGATGTGGGGCTTGCCCTCTGGGTGAGGCCCTCACCACTCTCACCCAGGAGGGCGGCGCCTTCTTCTACTCTCAGGGCAGGAGGGAGAGGGGCCAGCAGCCTTCATGTTACTTTCAGGCTGCTATTTCCCCACCACCTCTCTGTGGCCTCTCTCTCACCTTGAGGGTCCTTGTTGTCCCTCTGCGTCACTCAGTGTCTTCCCCTGTAGGCCTAAAGGGCACTGTCCTGGCTTGCCTGGAGATTTCTCTCACTGTTTCCTCTGCACTCAGCCCCTGCAGAGTGTAGGAGAAGTTCCTGGGGCTGGAGACACGATGATAAGCTTTTACCCACTCCCTCGGCTATTACAGAGCCGTGGAACCCTCCAGCGAGTCACCTCTCTGGGCCTGCCTTTCTCACCTGTAGAATTCTTTCCTGCTCTGCCTGTCTGCACCTTCCCACCACACCTTGCGCCACTGCCCCACTTCCCCAACTCTTCCAGGCCTGCAGGACCCACACGGACTGAAGCCTTTAGCCCGAGACTTTATGCTCTCAGTTCACTGATGAATTCTGATTCCCCACCTTGGACTCCTCAGTCAGGCCACTGACCCTGAACCTGGGTCCTGGACAAGTCCCAACCCCAAGAAGACCTCATTGTCCCCGCTCCTAAAACCTTTGGAATTTCCTAAATCATGAGAATGATAAAGGTGTCTTGATATTCATAACAAACTCCTTTCAACTACACCTGAGTTTATGTTAACGAAGTAACTTTTGGAAAACACCTGAGGATGAGCGCTTGTTGCCAGGAAAGGCAACTATGTGATTGCCGAGTTGAAGCTTCCAGTTCCACCCCTTGACCTTGAGGAGGGGAGAGAGGCTGGAGGTTGAATCAATCGCCAATGGCCGATGATTTAATCAACCGTGCCTATGTCACAAGGCCTCCATAAAAACTGAAAAAGATGGGGTTTGGCGAGCTTCAGAGTTGGTGAACACATGAAGATTCAGGAAGAATGGTGCACCTAGAGAGGGCATGGAAGTTCCACGCCCTGTCTCCATACCTTGCCCTATGCATCTCTTCCATCTGGCTGTTTCTGAGTTATATCCTTTTAGAATAAACTGGTAATCTGGTAAGTACAATGTTTCCCTGAGGTCTGTGAGCCACTCTAGCAAATTAACTGAATGCAAGGAGAGGGTCATTGGAACCTCCAAACTTTATTCAGAAGCACAGGTGACAATCTAGATTTGCAATTGGTGTCTGAAGTGTGGTTGGAGGCAGCCTTGTAGAACTGGGCCCTTAACCTTTGGGATCTAACCCTGTCTCCAGTTAGGTAGTGTCAGAAGTGAGTTGAATTGTAGGACACCCAGCTGGTGTTGGAGAACTGCGTGGTGTGGGGAAAGATACACATATCGAAACTGGGTGCCAAATTTTACCCACCTTACTCTTTGTCTTTTTCCTTCTGCACCTATGTACCTACTAGCACACTATATATTTTATTTTTTAAATGTGCTTGTTGTTTATTGTATATCTCCCCCACTAGAATGTAAGCTCTGAATGGCAGTAGTCTTAGTTTTATTCACGGTTACACCCTGAGTTTCTAGAACAGTACCTGACATAGAGTGGTAGTCAATAAATTTATTGAGTGAATGAACACATTCTGCCTCATATATCGATGAGTGTTTTACCCCTGTTTTCCCACCACAATGAAGAAAGTTGAGGGAAGTTGGGTCTTATTTATATTTGTGTCCTCCATGGTGTCCAGCCCAGCGCATGGTTTGTAATAGGGAGCAATAAATGCTTTTGTAATGAGTTATTCTCAAGACAAGGACCTATCCCCAGGAGGTCCAGAGAGGGAGAACTGGTGAGGGGCTTCAGTGAGGTGAAGACCAGTGGTCAAGTCAGACGCCTTGTCTTAGGTCCTCCCTCAGGACCAATTCAGGGCAAGATTTATGGATGGCGACAGAAGAGAGGTGTCCTCAGGGCCACTCTTTCTCCTCGACATTGCTGAGTCTTGCACATGTGCACACAGAAGGATAGTGTCCCTGAATATGACTCAGGACAATAGAAGGGGCTTTTGCCAAGAGGAGCCAACCTCCAGGGGGACCTCAGTACCAACTACTCTCTTCTGTCTAAATTAGAAGCTCTCAACAGGGGGGCCGGCCTGGCAGTGTAGTGGTTAAGTTTGCGCACTCCCCTTTGGTGGCCTAGGTTCTTGGGTTTTGATCCTGGGCGCAGACCTACACCACTCATCAAGCCATGCTGTGGCAGCAACCCACATACAAAAAATAGAGGAAGGGGCCAGCCCTGTGGCCGAGTGGTTAAGTTCGCATGCTCCCCTTCAGTGGCCTGGCTTCATAGGTTCAGATCCTGCGTGCAGACCTAGCACCACTCATCAAGCCATGCTGATGCAGGGTCCCACATAGCAGAACTAGAAGGACTTACAACTAGAATATACAACTAGGTACTGAGGGGCTTTGGGGAGAGGAAGAAAAAAAAAGACTGGCAACATATGTTAGCTTAGGGCCAATCTTTAAAAAAAAAAGAAAAGAAAGAAAACGAAAGAGGAAGATGGGCACAGACATTAGCTCAGGGCCACTCTTCCTCAAGCAAAAAGAGGAAGATTGGCAACAGGTGTTAGCTCAGGGCTAATCTTCTTTACCAAAATAAAACGGAGTTCTCAACCTGGAATTGCCCTCAAAATTTGGTGTGACTTTTTTCTTCTGGTTCTCAAAGGCCTGTGTGGTCTAGAAAACATTAAGAACCACTAGCCCAGAGAACCTGAGGGGGAAGCCCAGAATCCTTCCTCATCCTCCTCCACTCCCTCCAGCCTTGCTCACCTTCCACCTGCCCCAGCTCAGAGAATGCAGCAGACCCTGCCGTGAGCACTCACTCCCCACCACTGTGGATGTGGGTCTGTGACAGACACAGGGAAGCCACAGAGGGCAGGAGAGGGGAGAGGCTGTCCTTAGCCATGTTGCCCTGGCTCCACCCTTACCAGGAGTTTCCAGACTTGAGGATAAATCTGCGTTTATTTCAGGAGAAAAATGTTTGAAGAACAAATGACAGAGAGAAGGAGCCAGGATCGTTCAGGGGCTCGAGTCTCTACTCTTTTCCCTTACAATTCCTCCAAAGCACCAGCCCCATGAACCTCTTCAGCCCCACAGCCCCACACCGAGAACCCACATGTTGGCTGGATCACAGCAGCCAAATCAACAACAGTCAGGCACACAAGAATACTGGGGGTTCTTCCTCAAGCCTGGCATGAGCAAGCCCCCAAATTGCTAGTCTAGCTTTAGACTCTGTCCCCAGGCCTAATGATCTCCTAGCCCACCCACCCACCCTCAGGCTCCTAAGCCCAGACCCGCAGCTTCACGGCCCCCCAAGGGTCAGAGCCGAGGGGAGAAGCCAGCCACCACGATGCTCTCGCCAGTGATATAACTTGCGTCTGGAGAGCACAGGAAGGACACGAGTCCTGCACAGTCCTCAGGCTGCCCAATCCTGGAGGGGAGAAGGACAGAACACAGCATCAGTGATCTCAGACTCTGGCTCTGCTGCTCCAGTGGTACTGGGCTCCACGGAGGGACAGAGTGTACTCAGGAGGGCTACTTGCACCCTCTAAGGCTTTGTGGAGCCCCGTCTTCAGCACAGGGAAGGGCCAGTAGACAAGGAAGGGGCTGCTCTTGAGGAGGACACAGCTGCCCCTCCCCAACCACACCCAGACCATGGAAACTCCAAACTCTACTTGCCTCTTCACCCAGTGGTACTCCTTGAGTTTCTTCCAGATAGCCTCGTTCTCATATAACTGGGCAAAGGAAAGAGATGAAGGAGTCAGTGCTGCTAAACAAGATGGGAGGGCCCCAGGGGTCACCTGGTGGAGCGCCCACGGCAGGTTAACCCTCCTCAGGGTTGATGGACTGGTCACGGCTGAGTTCAAAGGACAGTGAGGACCTCAACTGTAAAGATGCTGATCTGAGACTAGTCACCTGTTTATCCCTTAGTCATTGGGGAGGTTCCACTGAGCCAGGCTAGGAAACAAGGGACACACTCCAGTCCTCACCAGTTTGCTAAAGTCAGTCTTGATTATTCCTGGAACCAGGCAGTTCACCTGGATGTTCTTGGGGGCCAGCTCCAGCGAGAGCGTCTTGGTAAGGCCCAGCAGGGCCGTCTTACTGACGTTGTAGACACCCAGCTCCTGGGAGGGGAATCAAGACAGTGATTAGGATGTGGATGAGTGGAGGAAAGTGTCAGGTGGATTTCTTACCTGCAGAGGATTACACCTGGCCTAAGCCCAGAGCTCAGATCACTCTCCCCAGCCTGGTCTAAGGACAGAAGCTGGATCTGAGAGACTCAGCAGTCACATGGGCAGGAGCTCAGCCCAGGGCAGCAAGAGTAAGGAGGGGGTCTTCCCTGGGCACAGGCCCTGTGGGGCCCTGGGAAACCACTCACCCTATCCCAACCAGGAGCACACGAGCAAGTACTCACCACAAGTGGCATATAAGCGGCAAGGGAGGAGACCAGGATGACAGCACCCCTCCTAAGAGGAACCAGACAGACACAAGAAGAGAGAGAAAACCAATAACTTACCCATGACTGAGGTGTTATAATTATTAAAAAGATATAAAATTTTTATTATTATAGTCACTGAATAGTACAATCCTCACAACAGTGATACAGGTCCTAATATTAGTCCCATTTGACAGCTGAGGAAACTGAGGCCCAAAGAGGTTAGTAACATAGACAATAAGTGGCAGAGCTGGAGTTCCAACCCTATCTCTTGGACCCAATGTCCATACTCAGAACCATTATACTCTTCCGCCTCTTCCTGGGGAAGAGATGGGCAGAAAGCCAGGGGCTTGGGAAAGGGGGCAGAGTGAGCTTGGTGAAGAGGCGCCCAGGGCTGATGGTGAATGCCTAGCAGAGGGAGGCCTCTGAGAAGCAGATGGGGCAGGTAGAGATGAGAAAGGAGTCAGGAACTTTTCCTCCTGTCCAAGACAGTCTCCAGCCAGATCTTAAAGCGTGTGTCTGCAAGGAGGAGCCTCAGGAGCAGCTGAGTCCCATAGGAGGTGGTGGCCCAAGTCCCTGACATGAGAGCCCTGGGGACATGTGTGGAGTGCAGTCAGATATGCAGGATCTGGAACAGAGGTAGGGTCCCTGGAGACCGAAAAGCAGGGAAAGAAGAGAGGCCTGGGATGGAGAAATGGGGCAAACCCTGTGACAGGTCATAGACTGGTAAAAAGGCATTGGCGAGCTGTGAGAGAACCAGAGTAGATTTGGGCGAGAACAGCCAGCCCACAAGGTTAAGGAGCTAAAGCACAGCCTCTTCCCAAAGCTGGTGATGTCAGGGCCAAAGAGAGCGTGCCAGAGCCCCTGGCACATCACCCTCGTCCTGAAACCGCTAGAATTAGCAGCTGTAGCTGCACAAAGGATGCGGTAGGAGAGAGGGAGGGGGATGTGGAGATCTCAGGGGGACCTCTTCTGTCCTCCCCCTCTCCCTGCTGTGGCCCTGGGTTCTCCAGACTCCACTCTTGTGCCTCAGTCTCCCTGGAGTCCTCCCGTCCCGCCCCCCACCCTGTAGTCGTACCCCCTCTTCTCCATGTGGGGCAGCAGCTGGCTCAGCAGCAGGACAGGGGACTTCAGATTCACGTCCACGATCTGAAATTAAAGCAGGGGCGTGGTGGAGGGCGGAGAAGGACACGGGCGGTCAGACTCTAGAGCAGGATAATTTGCACAGCAAACCCAGATTTGTGCAGATCTGAGAGATTAATCCCCCTTCTGATCAGGACAAGAAGTGTTCCCAGCTTGCTAATGGTTTAATAGACAGGCAGGCTAAGTGACAGGCCTGTGAGCAGAGCCCTGAAAGTGTGACTTGTTCAGGCCTGGGATGAAAGAAGGAAACGGTCAGGCCTTTGAAAGAAATGGTACTACATTCTGGTTGTGCAGATAGAAGCTACACGCAGGGACCACTGGAAGAATATTGAAGGCAGAACAGACGGAGGGAAAGCAGATGCTGGGAGCAAGGGAGATTTCTGGAAGAGTCATCTTCATCTCTCCGTGTTTTTATTTGACTATGCTCTTGGTTTGTCCCAACAGAATTTAAGGCATACTCACAATGCAGTAGCATAAAACAAGCCAAATAGGTATTTTGTGTGAAGAAAGGGAGAATACAGAAAATAAGTGTAGAAAAATCAGAAAAAGCAAGAGCGAGGTTGGTGCCCACAGTTCACAGCACGTGGTAAGAACTGAGCATTATTCTGTTGTTCGTTCACAAAAACGCATGCCGAGAGGGCCTACATGCACGCAGTTTATTGCAGACATGGCTCTGAGTTTCCCTGCAGCCAACACAGAAAGAGAGACACCAGAAAATTGCCATTCTGGGAGTCAGGCGCCCACACTGACCCTGCCTGCAACTGAAACCGGAGTGTGGCCTTAGGGTCCCTGACTCTCTAACCGGGACCTCTGTCCGGCAGATCTGGGGACAGGGGAGAAGTAAGAGAGGAATTTGCAAGAAAAGATGCAGAGAGTGAGCTGGGGGGTAGGACAGAGTGCCAGCTGGGACTAAAGTGACACAGGGATCCCTCCTGTGAGGCGCTGTCTTCAGTGAGGTCAGCCGTGTGCTGTGTCTTTAAGGAATGAGGCTACATATCTGTCACTGGCCAAGCCTGTCCACTGTTTTTCCCACTGCTTCATCCCACACCCACTCATCTCCTTGGATGTGGGCAGGGAAATGCTTCAACTGAGCGCTGGGAGGCCCATTTGATGACAGGTGACCAGTGTTGAGGATGACCCCCAGGACTGCAAGAAGTGGCTCCGATGCCTGAAGGGGTGACATCATGAGGTCCCCAATAAGAAGGAATTGAGGGTTAGACTAAGGGCTTTCTGGTCACTCTCTGCACAAAACAGAGCCCCACCAGCGCACTGGATGTCGGCCCTAAGCTCCATGTGTGACAGGCCAGGCCATGGTTGAGACGAGGCCCCTCCTAGACTCAGGAGCCAAACGTGTGCCAAGGAAAAGGTAAGAGTCCCTCCCTTGCTGAAGCAAACCGCCCTATCAGAAAAGAAGGAAGAGTAGCTCTGTGTGCCATGAAGTCCTGAGGACAGACCGGTGGGTCTGAGGAGGTGCTGCTGGAGAGTCCTTGGAGAAGCGATGGAGGAGAGGTGGTTGGGGTGGTAGAGGACAGATTTCCCAACCAGCTGGAGAGAAGGGGCATCTGCCTGAGGGAGGTGCTCAAACTGGCCCAAGAGGAAGATGAGCGAGCAGCAGCTCCTCTTACAGGACACCTACTGAAAATTACATCCAGGTAAAAGCAGAGTAACTGGTAAATTCTAAACTTGTTTTGTGACCATTTCACCTCCAAGGTGGTGGCAGGTGTGATCAGGGGCAATTTATGTCCTGTGGTGCAGAATTGCTTGGGGGTTAGCAAGCAAGTCCTTGGAGAAGAGGAGAGCAGCAGAGAAAGTAAGGGGGGCCATGGGCAAGCGGCCCAGGTGCGGGAGGGAAGATTTCAAACAGTTCTGATGAAAAGAGTCATGATCCCGTGAACTGAGACACTAAAAGGGAAAATGACTCAGGAGGGTGAGGAGACTGTCAGCGGTGAAACCCTAGCTACCTAGTCACAGATGCTCCTTCGGAGGCATTAAGGAGGCTGAAGAGCCTGTGGAGGCTGCTGGCAGTGGCTGCAAGGAGCTCCAATTTCAGGTCACCTCTGAGGATGGAGGGAAGGGCACCCGGCCAAGAGCAGATACACAGAGAGGCCGGCCTGAGAATGCTGACGGCAGAGCGGCAGAGCGCACAGAGCTGGGGAGGGCAGGAGGAGACGCCCTGGCTCAGCACTTGGGGCCAAGGGGGATGCTAACCATGGCAGGAAGAATGTGACTCCGTCCCAGTCCATCTTGTCTGCCAGAGGGACCAGGGAACAGAACACAGGAGCAAATAAGAGTTGAAGGAGAATAACAAAGCCTGAGACGGACCCGAAGGCATTTTGTAAGGTGTCTCCTGGACCCTTGTGGACCAGGATCGTTAAGTGGACTGTAGTGGGTTGGAAGTGGGTCCAAGCCCATGGAAAGCTGATGGATGGGTCCATCCTCTCTCTGACAGGTACAGAGAGGAGCCCTAGTCCAGGAAAGGTGGAGAATCTCAGCAGCAGGTACAGGTCACCCAAGAGGAGCACAGCCACCAGTATATGTCCCCACAAAGGATGTAAAGAATATAACCCGTTGACAGAGAGCAGAGACCTTACTGTTCTTGACTCTTACCAAGAGCAGAGACTTCCTCCCACAGCTCTCTCCCCAGAGCCTGGAAGAGTGCCTGGCACACGGAAAGCCCTCAGTAAATATTTGCTGAATGAATAAATGCAAAAGAGACGGGCAGGAAAAAGAAAGCAGAAAGAGTATAGGAACCAGCTTTAAAAACACACAAACCAGGAAGCAGCTTCACAGCACATTCCAGGGACGAGCGGCCAGCGCCTGTTTTCACAGTAATGTCAGGAGGGGAGAGGAAAGTCTCGGGGTGGGGGTGGGAAGCACTTCGGACCTCTCAGCCTGGTCTGAGAACGGCCTCTTACCTTGTCCCACACCTGCTCACTGGTCCCCAGAGTGCTCCCCACCAGGGGGTTGACCCCTGCCACGCACACCAGGAAGTCAATGCCCCCACAATGCTGCAGGGCCTGGGAGGAAGGGTGACACGAAGAGTGGGGGTGAGTGTGGAGATGACTTGAGGAGGCCTCAGGGTGCTGAGGCGTTGAGGCAAAGCTCGCTAACTATGTACTATCTCAACCAGGAGTGGTCACAAGGCTTCTTGGTGATAGTAAGTGCCCTGGATAGGCCCAGGGGTGGGCTCTCCGGTGCTGAGGACCTCAGGGGAGGACGGTCTTCTCCAGGAAGCCCTCTGGGGGCTTGGGATGGGGAAATCCCTTTAGACCCCTCCTCAATCATAGAGGTACCAGGGTGTGGGGTGTAGGTGGAGGGGAGGGTCCTCTCATGAACAGGCCACTTTCCAGTGTGAACAGCAAGCTCTGCTCAGTTAGGCTGTGAGCAATCATGGTCTCAGGACATGCTTTAGGGCCTCTGAGACTCCATCCTGGTCCCTGACTCTCTAAGGGCCGAGCAGGGAGGGAAAGCATCTTTGTGTGGCCCCTCACCGTGGCCACCAGCCGCTCCCGGTCCTCGGCCTTCCCCACGTGGCACACGGTGCCCATCACACTCAGCCCCTCCTCCTGTAGTGCTGCCACTGCCTGGTCCACGTTCTGCTGCTTCCGGCTGCTGACCACCACGTGGGCCCCGTCCTGGGCCAGACGCCGGGCGATGGCGAAGCCAATCCTGTGGGCAGAGATGGAGGGAACAAGACAGCCTTAGCCCCTCGCCATCATTCTCCTCCTACTCAGCCCTGGAAATCAACAAGTCTGTGTCCTACTCTATAACCCAGAGGTCCTTCTGTGGAAGTGAGTTTCCCTGTGAGGGGACAAGACCCATAGGGCAATCAGGACACTTACCCATTAGTGGACCCCGTAACCACGGCTACCCGATTGGCCAGGATGCCCTTTTGGTCTATACCCCTGCTGATCTTCTGCACAGAGAGCCCAGCAGGGTGACGAAGCTGGCCCCGTTGGACCCAGGCCGCTGCTTGAAGCCTGGTGGCCATGGCCTGGTCTGCTTCTTGCTGAACTTGGCCCTGGAGAAAGAATCAACTTCAGTTATCACTGGCCATCAGTGAGTGTGATGGTCGTCTACTCCCAGCTCCTCTAGACAGACAAAGCCAGCCGCAGAGAGGAGGAGAGAGTCGGGCCAGTCAGGGTGAATTTCAAACGGGTGAGCCCTCAGGTCAGGAAAACTCTCCATGAAAATTCTCTATGAAACAGACGAATTAGAATGTGAGACCCAACATTCACGAGACAGGATGATTTTCTCATTCATTCTATAAGCAAGCACTGGGAACTTGCAATGTGTCAGGCACTGGACAGCAGACTCCAGGTCATCCTGGTGAATGATGCCCCCTGACCTCACTCATGGAGCTTGTCCGTGGAGTGAGGAGGCCAGACACCAAGCAAAGAATTACACCAGTTATTAATTTTAATGAACTGCTTCTAGTTGAAAAAGTAGAAATCAACAGAAACTTTCATTCACTGCTGGGGGAAGTTTAAGCATGACCACTTGGGAAAGCCATGTGGCCCTATCCTGGGAATTTGAACATACAGGCCTCTGACTGCAGTTTCATACCCGCAAGAGGGCAGTCACGTGTGCAAACAAGAGCCTGTGCACAAGCATTCACAACATAATTCTTTGTAACAACCTCAAATTGGAAATGAGCTCAAATGTCCATTAATGGTAGAATGGATAAACAAATCGTGTTGCACTTATAGAATGGAATACTATGCAGTCGTGAAAATTAATGAACTGAAACTACACGGAACATAAATGAATCTTAAAAAGACATCATTGAGGAAAAGAAGCCAGGCACAAAAAAATATGTTATTATGTGATTCCACGTATACAAGTTTCAAAAACAGGCAAAATAACTCTATGTTGTTTAAGAACACAAACAGGTGATAAAACCACACAGAAAAGCAAAGCAGTGGTTATCACAAAAGCCAGGAGATAAGCCTGGGGTAAGAGCAGGGTGATGATTGGGGAGGGGGAAACCAAGGGGCTCTGGGCTGCTGGTGCTGTTCTATTTTATGGCTGAGTGATGGCTACATGGTGTCCACTAAGATGTGTATGTCTTGTGTGTGTGTGTGTGCGTGTATACTTTTTAGGTATGTGTTATATTTTACAATAAAAATGTTTTAAAAGTAAAGTTTACCTGCTCATGGTAAATTTTAACATTCAAGCAGTTCAAAACTAGTCCAAAAACTAAATCTCCCAGTTTAACTTAATTAACTAAATTCTCCCACTGGGGGTGGCCTCTAGTTTGCCTCTCTCAGAGGCAAATTCCAGTGTCTCGAATACTTCCTCTGAGATGTTCTGCATAAGGAGCTTTGTTTTAAACAAGCTTTCCATGTATAAACACTCAGTTCACAAAGGCTTTCCTGGGAGTCCCCTGCCAGGTACAGAGGAAGCAGAGGGTCCGTGGGCTCCTTGAGGGCGGCCCCACTTGCTCCCTCCCTGGGGTCCCAGAGCCCCACGGGGCTTGAGACAAGGGGTGCACAGCTCCGTCTGCTTAGTTGGGGAGAATCATCACCAGGGAAGCTGCAGATAAATAGGACCGGGAAGGTGGAGGAGGGTCTGACAGGGAAGCAGCAAGAGAGGTGTTCTAGCCAAGGGGGACAGATTGAGAGGAGAAGGGGACAGGGGTGAACGTCCAGGCTCTTTGGCAGACAGCAGGAGTGCCGAGAACGGAGGGCTCATGACGGAGAAAGCAGACTGTGGTGTACGGCCATGCCACCCTGAATGAGTGCCATCTCTTCCGATCTTGGAAGCAAAGCGGGGTCAGGCCTGGTTGGTACTAGACAGGAGAAAGCAGACTGTGGCTCCGGGAGCCTGCATACTGTCTCCACCAGGTTGTGCTGAAGTAGAGCTATCTGAAGGGAGGCTGTGAGGAGCCTGGACAAGCCTCAGGAAGGGAGGGGGTAGTATGTGCCACTGTAGATACGTGCAGGTGTGAAGGTGAGGTGAGGACCGGCATGGGACACTCAGATGTGAAGACATATCCCCATGAACTGAAAATACATAGAGATGCTTGTCTAGGGGGCCGTCTTTCACTCAAACCCCAAATTTCCCAGCTCCACATCAATGTGAACCCAGAGGCTCCTGCCTCTCCCAGTGCTAGACACCTACTTGCTTGCTCGGGAGGGAGCCCTGCTGGTCCTTGAATCTGGGAATCTGATCAGCTTCCTGCAGAGGGAGGTGGGGAAGGAATGGTTGGAGCAAGCGGTTATCGCGGACAGTCAGGGACTTGCGTGTACTTTTCATGCAGGACAGTGCCAGGGAGCTGAAGAGAGGAGGCTCTGGTAGCTCTGGGCCGAGGGGCAAACAGACATGCCCTTTCAGGACATTCTAGTGTAGGCTGACTGTCCGCAGACCCTTATCAATTCCATACCTGCTCTGGCCACTCTATCACTGAGGGACTCCTGGTTACTAAGCAACCTCTGCCAGTACCTACTGCACTCCCCTTGTTCCTTAGCAACCCTTGCATAACCCAGTTCCCTTGAGTTAGGGGTCGGTATCTCTAAATGATAAGTGAACGGGTGCTGCTCAGGAATTGTGGAGAAATTTCAGACTAAATATCAGTCTGTATCCGTGTCATAATGAAGGTGACTATATGCTCTGCTTTGGCAGGGACCGCCTTGGTTTCCAATGTTTGTCCCTTCTGATACCATATTTTCAAAATGACCCCTTGCAGGTCCTAGACCTCCTCGCTTTTTTATCCTAGCTGCTTTCACTCTGCTGGCTAGCTCACATGCGCCGTCTCCTTTCTGCAAGGTCATGTCTACAGCCTTTCAATTTGAGGGGATTGGGGGTTTCAGCTTCAGATTGTTCTACCTTTCCTAAATGGGACACCAGATTCTAAACACTGTTTTGACCCCTGGGGGACTACCCCCCCGACTCCCTTATCCCCCCACCCCGGGGCTGCCAGCACAGATTAACCCCATCAAGTGTGAGGGGAATCCGTCTCCTTGGCTGGGAGGGCAGCAGGAAAAAGAGGACTTGCATTTTGTCAGGAGAGGGCACCCTCTGCTGGAAGACTGGAGTTGTAGCATCTCAGAGAAGCTGTTCCTATCTCAGCAAGTCTGTGGCTGTCCCCACTCTGGCCTAGAGTAGTTCTTACCAAGCCCTGCGGGTCTAAACTAGCCTTGAGGTGGTCTGCAGGAACGCTGCCCACCTTGTAAGGAAAAGCAGCTCTGGTCTGTTGCAGGTGAAATGTGAAGAGCCCGGTCAGCCCCCATCTCTCTCCCCTGGGTCCCCTTCCCATTCAAGGTCCCTCTTTCCTGGGGCCTGAGACTGGGTGGCTTCCAAGGGCCCAGGCTCTCACTCTCTCCCTTAATTCTCACTTTACTCCAAAGCAGTAGACCCCAGCAGGTCCTGGGAGCTTAGAGTAGCCTCTGAGCCTGGCACTGCCCAGTCCGGGACCCTTCCCATGCTGATCAATTCAGACACCCAAATATGGAAGAGAGGAAGCCAAATGGACATAACCTCAACCTAATCCCATCCTGGAGGTGAATGCCCTTATCGTAGGGTCCAAGGAGAGAAGAGAAGGGAAAAGGAAAGAAAACAAAGATTCAGGCAGAGATTGAGAGATGTGGAAGAGTTAGAAACACTGAAGATCAGGAAAGAGAGACTAGGGAGATGTCAACAGAAGCTGCGTGATCTTGGGCAAGCCAGTTCCCCTCTCTGACTCCGTCTGGACCTTGGTAGCATGAGAAACTGAGTTGGGTGGTCCTAAGGGCTCTGATAGCCCCAAGAGCTTTGTCATGAGAATCAGAGAAGAAATAAAGATTGAGCTGAAGACAGAGCCAGAGAGACAGAAGCATCAGCACAAAAAGTCAAGAGGAGTGAAAAGGTGGGCAGTTCTGGTGTCATGAACCCCAAACTGCACAGCCTCGCCTTGGGCGACACCATCTGTCCCTGCCCTGGGCTGAGGTGGGGCCAGCTCAGCCTTACCTGGCTGTGCTCCTCTCTTTCCTGAGTGCGGGTCAGGAGCTCTTCCATGGGCGGTCTGAAGCCGGGTGTGAGGATGTGAACGGGCAGCAGGCTGCTTTCAGGCACAGCTGATCCTATCTGAAACACTCAAGGATTCCTGGCATTTAAAGTCTTAGAATTGAAAAAGGAGGTGGTGAGAAAAGGCCTCCCCACAGCTGGGGAGGAGGCTTGGGGAGGGTGGGAGCATTGGGGACAGGGCAGGACTTGTTGTCAGAGTAATATGTGGCAGAATGCTGCACGTACCACTTACCAGGCACCCAGACCTGTCAGGCCAGCTGTCCGCGGACCCTCACACAACAGAAACAGACAGACCCATGGGTCCAATCAGGCTCCAGACCCCACATTGCGGAAGTGGGGTGGGCGGGACAGGCAGCCTACAGGCTCAGCTGGCGGGGGAGCAAAGCTGCAGAGACATTCTTACCAGCACCAAAAAGAGACCACAGGCTTCCGTTGCCAAAGCCAGTGAATGAGCCTCTCCCTGCTGGATCAGGCCCCTCTAGAGCTTCAGGTGTGCTTCTGTGTCCAGATGTCCATCCATCACCCAGGCTATCACCTGGGCCCAAAAGTTTGATGAGCACCTACTCCATTCCAGGCACTGTGTTGAGTACTGCAAACAGCGAAATAATGAAGGCACAGTCCTTACCTCGATAAGGTCACAGTCTAATGGAGAGATCAAATAAATCTCGTGCAGAATGCTACCCCTCAAAGTGGTAGGAGGCTTGAGGCTCGGGTAACATCCAAGGAGAGCACAGGAAAAGCCACATAGAGATGCCCATGGGATATTTCAGAGGAGGTACCTTGGCAGTTGGATAAATCATTCTGGCATGCAGGAGAGCAAGTTAGAGACCAGAAAAATGTTTTGCAAACTATTGGTCTTAGCTAGAAGAAACCTCATAAAACAGATGAGACACCACAAGAAAGTCAATAAAGTGAAGAGAGGAGGACCAAAACTGGACCCGTGGTAGCCAGCCTCTAAGAGGGTCCCGTGATCCCTGTGGGCTGAGTAGTCCCCTCCCTCATCATACCAGGGTTCACAGAAGTAATGGCACGTCACTTCTGAGATTAAGATATACAAAACTGAGTGCTCCGTCTTGGGCCCTGGCTGTCTCTCTCTCTCTAGGATCACCCCAGCTGCCAGGTTGTGAGCATCCCTATGGCGAGACCCATGTGGCGAGGAACTGAGGCCTGCCCACAACCATATGAGTGAGCATGGAAGCAAAAATCTCGGCCTCAGTTAAGTCTGGAGACGGCTGCAGCCCCAGCTGACGGCTTAACCCCGACCTCACGAGGCATCTCGAACCAGAACCCTCCAGCTACACTGCTCGCATGCCTGACTCTCAGAAAGTGTGAGATCATAAATTTTCAAGTTGCTAAGTGTTAGGGTAACTTGTTATGCAACAAAAAATAATTAATACAGCAACCTTGGAGAAAACTAGCTCATTGATGAGATAGAGCAGAAAATCCTAAAATATAAGATTTTTAAAAATAACGTAGCCACAATTGAAAGAGTATTGTATTGATACATGAACAAATAAATCAAAGGAACAGAAAGGAAGGTTCAGAAATAGATACAAACACATCTGAAAATTTAATGTATGATAAAGGTGGCATTTCGAATGAGTGAGAAAAAAGATAGATTCATCAATAAATGATGTTGAGACAACTGGGTAGATCTCTGGGGGAAAAGAAACTAAATTAGATCTATGCCTTTCACCAAAATAAATTTCAGATGGATCAAAGATTTACATGAAAAAAATGAAACCATAAAAACTACAATAATTCTTTTTACTTCTGCACGGAAAAAAAAACCTGCCTAAGCAAAGTCAAAAGAAAAGTACAATTTATATAAAGTTCTAGAATAGACAAAGCTAATATATACATAGTGATAGAAGTCAGATCAATGGTTGTCTGAGTATAGGGGCACGAGGGAATTTTCTAGGGTAAGGGAAATGTTCTATATCTCTATTGGGGTAGTAGATACACAGATATGTACATTTGTCAAAATTCCAAGGACTGTACACTGAAATTGTGTGCATTGTACTCTCTCTACTGTGTACTTCAATAGAGTTCATTTTACAAAGGAAAAAAAAAAGGGCAAAGTGAGGCGAACACCAGTAGGTCTGATGTTTTGAAAAAAGCAAGATTTCTCCATGCAGATGGATAGCCCCAGATCCTGACCCACACCCAACCGCTTTCTTCTCCAGTAGTGATCCTTTCCCAGCCTCTCCTAGGCGTGGATGATTCAAAGCTGATTTCCTACAGAATGAGAGACTATCTTCACAGAATTGAGATCTCCATGAAGCGCAGCATCACTTTGTTTTGGTCTCTATGCCAGGTTGAAGCATCCTCCACTCTTTGTTTCTGGGATGGTGCTATAGACTGAACGTTTGTTTTTCCCCAAAAAAATTCATCTGTTGAAACCTAATCCCCAAGTTGATGGTGTTTGGAGGTGGGGCCTCTGGGAGGTGCTTAGGTCATGAGAGTCTCTTCATGAGTGAGATTAATACCCTTACAAAAGAGAGACCCCTAGCCCCTTCTACCATCTGAGGATGGAGAGAGAAGGAGCTGTCTGTGAACCAGAAGATGGACCCTCACCAGATACCAAATTTACTGACACCTTGATCTTGGACTTCCCAGCCTCCAGAAAGTTGAGAAATGAATGTTTTTTGTTTAAGCTACCCAGTCGATGGTACTTTTGCTATAGCAGCCCTAGCTGGGTAAGACAGACGGGTTAGTCAGTTGGGTTAGTAGTTGGTTGATTAGTTGTTTGGAAGGTTGGTTGGTTCACAAATTGGGGAGATGAAAAAAGCAAGAAAGATTTCTCTATGAGCAAAATCTGAAAGAGGTTTTGTACCTTTGAGGAAAGGTTTGTACATTTGAGGAAGATATTGACCATGGTGAAATTTCCTAGGACAAAAGTGGGGAAAAGAAGAAATGGGGAAAGTGGCATATGTACACTCCCCTGAAGGGGAAGAAAAGATGGTGGAGAAGAAAGTTCTGGCAATGACCTGTTATCACCTCAAGGAAACCGCCTTCATGCCATGGCCTTTGGTAGCCATGGGGTAATGTTGAAAGACAGGGACCTGGCTAGAGCCCAGAAGCACAGGAAATTTTATCAGCCTCTCGGTTGCCACAGGAGAGTTATGCAAGCCTAGCTCCAAAGCCTTCCCCTTGTGGAAGGCCTATAGATGTTTAAAAACAAAAGCAAACTCTCCCAGGGTAAGGTTTTACAACCTCCCTCCAATTCATTCCCTGCTCATCCTCTTCATCAAAACATCTCACAACCTCAACAAGCCTCAGAGGCATTTATCAAGAGAAGGGTCAGCTTGCCAGCATGACTTTGTCCCCAGTACCCTCGTTTCAGAGCTTCTTAGCTCACCCTCTGTGAGCTGTAGCTCACAAAGGTGTCACACAGCGCCCTCCAGTACCATCAGCAAGCTGCCCATGGATCTGGGTTCTGTTCCACATCTTGCCTCCTTAGGGTCCTCCTCCTATCCCCTTTATGGGGTTGACAGACTTAGCAAATCAAAAAAACAGGAAGCCCAGTTAACTTTGAATTTCAGAGAATCATCAATCAATTTTTCAGTACAAGTATGTCCCAAATATTGCATGGGACATACTTAGGTTAAAAAACTTATTCCTGGTTTATGTGAAATTCAAACTTACCTGGGCATCCTGTATTTTATCTAGCAAGCAGATCCCTTTACCCTAGTGATAATGATTCTCCAGAGAACAGTGACAACTGTCAGCTTATTAACTGATCTGAAAAAAAATCAAAATTCTGCAAATTTTACACATCACTCAGGTGAAAGACGAAGACAAACTATTATTTATAAAATATATTTAAATAACACCAGTAATACCTGGACATATGCTCTCCTTGTAACCACTAAAAAGAAAAAAAAAAGATAAAGCAAAAGTTCTCCACTATGAAGCCACTAAATTCCTGTATCCTTCCCAAAAGCAACCAGTTAACAATGTTCTTCTAGACTTTTTCCATGCATTTGCATAAATATATGTAAATAGAGAATACTTAGGTTTGCTTTGTGTGCTTGTGTGTATCCTATTGTAAACACTGTTCCATTGTTCTGTAACTTGTTACATGACAATACAAATAGATCTACTTCATTGTTTTTAAATGCTGCATAATATTCCACAGAATAAAGGTCACCCTAGCTTAGCAGGTTGCAGTGTGGTCTGAGAACACTTGGGGGACCCTTTCAGGGGCTCTATGAGGTCAACATTATTTTCATAATAATAGTAAGACATTATTTGCCTTTTGCATCCTCACTGGTTCACAAATGTACTTTGGAACATTTGGAACACAGTGTACTGTGGAGCTTTCCAGAGGCTCCACAGCAGGAGACGATGTCATTGTTCTGACAGCTGATGAAGCGCATAATTGTATTTCACCTCTAAAGCGTGTGTAAATCCGCCCCTTCTCTCCCTCTCCATTGTCCTCTCCCATCTACACTGTCGCTGTAGTGGCCCCCTGGCTGACCTCCATTCCACTCCCAAACCCCCCTCAACCATTCTCCCACCACCCTGTAGCTGGAATTAACTTTTTAAATGCAAATCTCCTCTGCTTAAAACTCTCCAATGGCTTTCCATTGCCCTTAGAATCAAAGCTTGAATTCTTTCCCCGTCTTGCAAAGCCCTGTGGGATCTGGCCCCCAAGTCCCTCTCAGACCGCCTCATCCGTTCTCCCCTTGACCCACATGCTCCAGCCCTCTGGCTTCTTTGCTCCAGGCTGCCCTCACAGCGTTTGCGTTTGCTGTTCCCTGAAAGCTCTTCCCACAAATATTTCACGGCTACTCAATGTCCCCTCCTCCTAGAGTCTTTCCCTGACCACTTGGTACAAGATAGACCCTCAGGAGCATGCTCTCCCACCATCCTCTTTCATTTTCTTCGTAGCACTAATTTCTGCCTAATATTTCCCTCTTGTTTCTTTGGTTATTACCTCCCCTGTTAGAATGTAAGCTCCATAAGCTAATAATAATAAGTAACACTTATGCAGCTCTTATTCTGTGCCAGGCACTGTCCTAAGCACTTTTACACATGTAAACTCATTTAATCCTCACCATGATCAAAAAAGTTGCACCAGGAGCATCATGTTTCAAAGGATAAAGCTCAGAAACAGTGAGGCAGAGTAACTTACCTAGTGTCACACAGCTTGCAAGCAGTGAAGCTGGGATGCAAGCTTCAGATGCAGGCATCTGACTGTGGAGAGTGTGCTCTTCCTCCTCCTGCTTTATACCTGGCAGAGAGGGGACACTTATAAATATTTATAGAATAAACAAATAGATGTTGCATAACTGGCTTAGAGATAGCCTGCCTCTGAGTCAGGCTGGTCAGACTGCAAACCCATGCTCTCCAGACTATGGGCATTGGAGGATTGTGAGGTTCAAACAAGAAATTTATTGAAACTTGCCCTCTTCTCTATAGATGCTCACAGTCTGGTGGGAAATGCATCTGTAAATAATAACTATAACACAAGATAGGAAAATTTAAGTGCCACAAGTGAGGGGGACACAAAGTGCCATGGGGGAGCCAGCCCTGACAGCCTAGTAGTTAAAATTCGGGGTTCTCACCACTTCAGCAGCTCGGGGTCAGTTCCCGGGCATGGGACCACAGCACTTGGCTGTCAGTGGCCATGCTGTGGCAGTGGCTCACGTAGAAGAACTAGAAGGACTTACGACTAGAATGTACAACTATGTACCACAGCTTCAGGGAGGGGAAAAAAAGAGAGAGGAGGAGGATTGGAAACAGGTGTTAGCTCGGGGTGAATCCTTTCCAGAAAACAAAACAAAACAAAACAAAAGTGCCGTGGGAGTTCTGGTCAGGGACTGATAACTTTTAACTGGGAGGTCAAGGAAGGATTGATGGAGAAAGTGGCATTTGTACAGGGTTTTGAAGAATGTGGACAGGCAGAGATGAGAAGGAGAGCGTAACTGAGACGATCAGTTGTCCCCTAACACCTGTTCCCTCTTCTCCCTCAGAACTCGTAACCCACAACTTTAGCTGTGCAAGTGACCACCCAGAATAAAGGTTACTTTTCCCAGCCTCCTTCGCAAACAGGCATGCCCATATGACCAAATTCTGGATAAAAGGATATAGCAGAAGTGGGATATGCAACTCCCAGAAAGTATTCTTAAATGCAAGGAGCAGCAACCCTCCCCCCGCCCACCACCACCGCTTCTGTTCTCCCTCCTGTTAGCTGGAATGTAAACTTAATGACTGGAGTTGGCACAGCTATCTCTGACCTCAAGAGGAAGCCACATGTTGAGAATGCTGGACTACGATGCTGAAGCAGTCTGGGTCCTTGACGATCATGAAGACACCGTATGAGGCCCACTGCAATTGTGTGTAAGCCGCTGTTACGTTAGTGTCTTAGATTGGGGTTGCTAGAAGCAGATCCCGAGACAGGCCATCATTTGCAAGAGATTTATTATACAAACGCTCCCAGGAGAAACCAGTAAGGGAACGTGGAAGGCAACACAGAGCAGGGGAAGTGGACACGGATGTGCTCTCAGCAAAGGCCCAGCCGCAGCCTGATCCCGAAGGGGAGCTCTGAGTGCAAATTACACCTCAGCGTTGGTCCTAATTTGAGACAAAGGGACCAGGCTTTCATTCTTCCTCCCCAGTTCGGCTAAAGGTTGCCCCAGACCCTCAGCTTGTGCAGAAGCTGCAGGAAGTGATAAACAGTCAAAGGGGATCCCTGCACTGGGTTTTCCATCACTCGTAGCAGAACCTATGCTTACAAGTAACAGAGCCATTCCTGGCAGAGGGAAGAGCATAAAGTGCACAGAACCTGGGAGAACAGGGTGTATATGAAAGTACAGAAAAGGAAGCAATGGAAACAGAGAAAATGGAAAACAAATTGTGGTTATGTGGACTCTGGAAAGCTTTAAAGGTCTAGCCAACCCATAAAAGGAGAAGCTGGGAGGACCTTTGAACATAGTGGGTCAGAAGGTTGTCTGTTAACTATGTGTGGGACGAGTTGGATTGAGACATGTGTGGGGTACCACCCACTCTAAGGCCAAATCTATAGTCTAGGCAAGAGGTAAAGATGGCTCAATCCAGAGGGTGGTTCTGGAAGAGAACAAAGGAAACAGTAACAAAGTCTTGCAAAGAAGGACTCAGTCTTTCTGGTTGCTTTGATGTAGGAGGCAGGAGATTGGATCCAAACATGGAGTCAGGGCTTGGTTCTAGCCTATTCTATGGGAGAAGGGTGGTGTCAGCAACAGAAATGGGGAACAGAGGAGAAGGAAGGAGTTTGAAAGGAAATATGAATTCCACCTATTGGATACCATGGTTTTGAGATGAAGGTAAGGCTTCTAATTGGAGTTGCCCAGCTGGCAGCTAGAAATGTCAGTCTGAGAAGTCCACGCATGGGATTTGGGTATTGTCTGTGGAGATGTGACTATTGAAGCCATGGGTGTGGATGGGGTTGCTAAGGGAGAAAATACACAGACAGGAGAGGAAGAGGCCAAGGTAAAATGCTTGGAAATTGTGCTGGTATTCACCTGTTGTCTCTCAGCACTATAGCCACCCTATTCTGGGATGCTGGTCTGCAAATGACCTTTCCAAGACTCTTGCCTGCCAGCTTCCTATTAAATTCTGCCAGTGAGAGCCTGAATAAAGTTGGGTGAAAGAAGGAACTGCCTTCCTGTTTCCAGCTCCTGTCAGGGTCACTTCAGGAGGACTCTAGTCCAGAGATCGGCAAATTCTTTCTGTAAAGGGAGGGATATTAAATAGTCTAGGCTGTGCGGGCTCTCTGGTCTCTCTTACAGCCACTCCACTCTGCCATGGCAGCGTGAAAGCAGCCACAGACAATACACAGGTGAACAAGTGTGACCGTGTTCCAGTAAAACTTTACTTATGGACACTAAAGTTTGGATTTTTTTTAATATTTTTTATGTGTCATGACAGATTTTTTCTTTTTTCTTTTTTTCAACCATTTAAAAATGTAACACAACATCCTTAGCCCATAGGCCACAGAGAAACAGGTGGCAGCCGATTTGGCTGATGGGCTGTAGTGGGCCCCGCGTTGACCTCCCGATTCTTCAGTCGCCCAGCAGCTGCTGAACCGCACCTCCTGGAGATACCAGCATTGGCCGTGCCGTTCCCACCCCCAGAGGCCCACACACCAGTCACGGTGTGTCCGTCCCCATTTGGAGGTCTGAACAAGAGCCATGGGGGGCTACTCCTCTGAGCTTAGAGGTTCTGGTGACACCACCTGTTCACTCTGTTCCTCCAGCCCTGGGGTGGAAGTGCTTCCTGTAGTTACTATATCTGGTCACTGCGACGCCTCCATTTGGTCTTCCCACCCTCCTACACAGGGGTACCCTCTTCCCTATACACATCCCTCTGTTTGAAATGCCTTGCATAGAATTGTTTTCCTGGCTGGACCCACACTGACACAGAAATCCTTCCATTTTAGGGATGAGAAGAGGAAAAGGAAGCCAAAAAGGAGGAGTCAGAGAGGTAGAAGGCAAACCAGGAGCATCTTGAAACCGAAGGAAAAAGAAGTTCAGGAAGAAGTGAGCAGCTGCCATGGCTGCTGAGAGAGAAGGAAGCTGGAGAAGCTGAGAAAGGAGGAAGACGGAGAAAAGGCCGATGATTAGAGGACTAGGAAGAGCCATGATACCTTCTGCTACCGAAACCAAAGTGGGTTCCCTCCTGGCGAGTTAAATCAGACTCTACACCAGAAGTAGTTGTCTCACAAAGTAAAGTATGTTTGTGGCAAATAGGAGACCATGAGGAATCATTTCCAGAGTCATGGTGTCCCCGAACAAAGGGAAGCAGGGACATTTCTTTCAGATGGGGAGTGAATATTCAAAAGGGAGAGGTGGGTATCGCTTGAGCTGGCTCAGCTGGAAAACATGCTTCCACAGACACTGCAGGTTTCAGTAACAAGGCCTAAGCTCCTCCTGGAGAGATCTTAGCATTAAAAATAAGGCCAAGGTCATGGGCAGAGCTCTCCAGTGGGGCTTGGTCAGGTTCAGGGTGGTTAATGGTTGCATCTCCTTAACATAACAAAAGGAAAAAGAACCATTTGGAAAAACAGTTAAAATATCCAAACCCACCCTTGAGTTCCTTGGAACCAGTCAATGACACCAGCCTTGAGGATTCCCAAGGGATCTGTGGCTCTGCATCCAGTCTCTTGCTCCAGAAGCCCAGGCAGAGTCCTGGGGTCTGGACACAACAGCCAAAGGCTCTGAGAGACCACAGTGGCTGGCGACAAGGCTCTCGGCCCAGAAACTGTGGCAGAGCCGCTTGGTAGCACCACAACCCCCAACTACCTGGAGCTGGAAGAAGGGACGAGGGGAAGCCAGGTCCAAAAGCTACTGGTGGCACACACTCTGCCGGGTACTGTCCCAGGCGGTGCAATTTAAACCTCTTCACAACCTGGGGCCGGCCCCGTGGCCGAGTGGTTAAATTCGCGCTCTCCACTGCAGGCGGCCCAGTGTTTTGTTGGTTCGAATCCTGGGCGCGGACATGGCACTGCTCATCAGACCACGCTGAGGCAGCGTCCCACATGCCGCAACTGGAAGGACCCACAACAAAGAATATACAACTGTGTACTGGAGGGCTTTGGGGAGAAAAAGGAAAAAAATAAAATCTTTAAAAAAAAGTTAAAAATAAATAAATAAATAAATCTCTTCACAACCTGTGATTTATGACTGCACCTGATTCAACAAAAAGGAAAACTGAGTCTCAGAGAGGTTATGCAACTTTTCCAAAGACCCACAAACTACAGACTCCAGAACCTGCTCAGACACCCATGCTAAAGGGCAGAGCCCCCTGCAGCCTCTTCAAGGGCCCTGGTGGCCTGTGCAGAGCCTGTGGTCATGGTCAAGCCTAACACTGAAGTTGTGTCTGTGGTGAGGAGGGGATGGGTTACTAGAAAGTTGAATGTCAAGTGACTTACCTCTGCCTTCAGGGTCCCAGAACACCATCAGATAACGGCATTAATTAGCATGAATGCTTTCCAAGGTGGGATGGCCCGCACTTTCCCTTTTCCTTTTCCCACAACTGCCAGAGGCCCGCCCCAGCCTCTAGTGCTTCCAGGCTTCCTTGTTCCCCTCCCACCACCATCTCCTCTCCTTCCTGCACCTGCACCGGATTCCCATGCCTGAGCCTAGCATAAGGAAGAGTCCCCAGCTCCCACCACAGTTCTGCAGCCCCCACGCCTCATCCCTGCTCTCCCTGCCTGCCTCCTCCTCTCCAGGGTGGTGATTTGCTGGAG